AAAAAAAAAAATCTACCTTTGGGGACATAGCCAGGGAGGAGCAAAGCATGCCCCTTAACACCTGGACAGACCAGTTGCCACTCAGTCCCAGATGAAGGCCAGAGCCTCCGTCTGCTTCCCGAGAATGAAGACTAGGCACAGCAAAGGCCTCATCACCTGTCCAGGAGCACAGAGCACTACTCACTGATTCTAAGTTTAACATGAAGATATTGCCAATGGTTCCTGAAGGATTCTCCACAGAAGAAGCTAGGGAAGTGGCCCAGCAAGTGGAGGCTCCTTCAGTGTCCCCCTTAGTGTTTGCCAAGGTTTTTGTTCTCTACTTGTTATGGATTGAATTATGTCACCCAAAAATATATATATTGTAAAACCTAACTCCTATACCTGTGGTTATAATCTCATTTGGGGATGGGTTGTCTTTATTATGTTAATGAGGCAGGAATAGTGTAGGGTGTTTCTTGAGTTGATCTCTATTGAGATATAAAAGATATTAAACAAGTGAGCAGAGAAGAAATGGTGTAAGATAGATGCCAAGACACTGGGAGATCTCCAAGGGACCAAGAAGGAGAAGCTAAAGAGACAAGGACCTTCCTCTAGAGCCAATAAAGAGGGAAAGCCTTCTTCTAAAGCCTGCATCCTGATTGGACTTCTAGTCTCCTAAACTGTGAGAAAATAAATTTCTGTTGGTTAAAGCCACTCACTTGTGGTATTTTTTATTATAGTAGCATTAGATAACTAAGATAGAATTTGGTACCATGACATGCTATTCTAACAGATACCGAAAAATGTGGATGTGGTTTTGGAATTGAGGTAGAATTTTAAGTTGCCTGATAGAAAAAGCCTAGATTGGCTTGAAGAGACTATTGGTAGAATTATGGACATCAACAGCAATTCTGGTGTCAGCTCAGAAGGAAATGAGAAGAACTATACAGAAAGTTCTCTATCATCTTAAAGAATACATATGGCATCAGCAACAGAATGTGCTAGAAATGTGGATGTAAAATATGCTTCTCGTGAGGCTTTAAAAGACAATGATGAACATGTGATTGGACAGTGGAGGAAGGGCAGTGCTTTTTATGCAGTAGCAAAGAACTTGTCTGAATTATGTTCAGATGTTTGATGGAAGGTAAAACTTGTAAGTGAGGAACTTGGATATCTGACTGAGAAGATTTCTAAGCAGGATCTTAAAGGGGCAAGTGTGGTTTCTCTTTGCTGCTTATAGTAAAATACAAGAGGAAGGAGGTGGACTTAAAAGTGAACTGTGCAAAATGTACACAGAACTTAAAGATTTGGAAAATTCTGTTATACAAACTAAGGACATGTGTCCAGGAATTTTCACCAAGGATGTGGCTACACAATCTTTTGTTAATTAGATTAAGCCTGTGACTGATGGATCTAACTGACTCCACAGTAGAAAACCCATCAGCTAAAACTGAAGGAGGCAAAGAAAGAACAAAAGGAAAGAACACTGTCTGCCTTTTGGAATTCTATGGACAGGAAACAGGCCAAAGGAGCTATATCTGTTGTCTTCCAAGAAAAGAAAAGGACCATCCCTGAAGCAGCTTATAAATCAGCAGAATTTTTAAAAGAAGCGGGAAAAGCAGGGCCTTCTTGGCTTCAAGTGTGGGGCTGTGGTCTCATGAGTTTTAAAGGGTAGGGCCACTACCTCCTAGGTTTCAAAGAGACAAATCTTCACCAACTTGGTTCTGAAGTGTGAGGCTGCTGTTAATGAGTGCCAGGGGGCTGAGGCTACACCCAAAGCTAAGGAGGTGAGGCTATCATGTCCAAGGGGCAGAAGAACTGGTCCTGCTCAAGCCAAGAGGGTAGAGTAGACACTCAGATGGACTAGGAGAATGGGGTCACCCAAAGCTGAAGGAACAGAGTTGCTGTTCCATTGGGCCTGGAAGGCAGAGCTGAAGCCCAGAGCTGAGGGATCTCCACCCAGAATCCAGAAGGTGTGGCCAACACTCAGAGTCTAGAGGGCAGGGTATTGCCCCGATGGTCTCAAGAGAACAGAGGAGTATTTTCAAGTCTTGAGAGCTAATATAAATTGTTCTGCTGGGTTTTGGACTTGCTTGGTGCCTGTTACCCCTTCTTTCCCTCCAGTTTCTCCCATTTGTAATGGAAATGTCTACTTTGTGCCTGTTCCATTGTTGTTCTTTGGAAACAGATAACTTGTCATTTACATTTCACATGTTCACAGATGAAGAGGAATGTTGCCCTGGAATGGAATACACCTAAAGTCTCACCCATATTGGATTTAAGTGATTCAGAAGATGAGATTTTGGAATTGGAGTTGATTTAAGACTTTGAGGATGATATGATGGAGTGAATGATTTTCCATGTGTCAAGGACATGAATCTAGGGGGCCAAAAGATAGAATGTAATAGATTGAATTCTGTCCCCTAAAATATATATTATAAATCCTAACCTCTATGACTGTCGTTGGGAGCTCTGGTAGCATAATGCCTAAGGCACTTGATTGCTAACCAGAAGGCTGGCAGTTTAAACCTACCAGCCACTCCTCGGAAAGAAGGTTGGGCAATCTACTTCTGTAATGATACTGCCTCAGCAACCCAAGGAGGGGTCGCTATGAGTCGGGTCTAACTTGATGGCACATAACAACATGACTGTTGTTATAATCCCATTTGGGATTGGATTGTCTTTGTTATGTTAATGAGGCAGGATTAGTGTATTGTATATCTTGAGTCAAATCATTTTTGAGATATAAAAGAGATTTAAACACAGTGCAGAAGAACCTGGAAAGAATGGGAGAAGAATGTGCAACAAAACTCAAATCATAAAGACCAGGTGTACAAGTCTAATGGAGGCTAGTGAGACCTCAGGCCATAGTGGGGCCTGAGACTATGGCCCCTACTTACCCTTCTGGAGCTAGGGTCTGGGTATGGAATTGAACCTACTCCCATGGCTTCGCCTAACAATGGACAGGCGTATAGGGTGAACATTTACATCAGGCAGATACACTCCTTGGAGCAGTCACTGGTGGGAGAACA